GCTGGTCTCTGCCATTTGCCTCTGGCAGGCTCAGAGGTGGCTGTTGCAGACAGTGCTGCTAGCCCTCCACCTTTGAATCAAAGTGTCTTTACTGGTGGTTGCTGGAGAGGTTGGTGTGACTTGTAAGAAACAGGGGAGATGTCTGAGCATGACTCTTAACTCAGACAGGACACATAAAAGATGTCCCTCATTTGGGTGGCATCTCCCTACATGTGGATTTTCATTATCCCATAGGCAATGCTGCTTCCCTGGCTCGTTTGTACTCATTTTAGTCAGGATCAGCCCCTGGGGTGTATCAGGCAGAGGATGAGCTCAGACACTACTCTGCTCCCCGAGTGTGATTCCTGTTCCCATGTGGAACTAGGTGGCTGGAGCTGGTGGATGAGGGCTCACAGAGCAGGGCTAGTCCTGGATGAGGTGGGAGGCAGTGCCAACCCCACAGCCCCTCCAAGGGGATCCCCCCACTCTGCCCAGCATCCCACTGGACAGTGCAGACACCACCTGGTCCCAGCTTGCTCTGGCCTGTCCTCACACACCTTGCTTGGTGCCGTTGGCATGAAGGATGCATCTTGCCTTGGTCACATGCGAAGTGTTGGGAGGCAAGTTTGGAAATTGCAGCGTGGTAATCATCTTTGGGTGTAAAGTACATGTAGAGGCACATAGACAGATGGTTTCTGCAATGTCCTCAGTCTCAGAGAGCTGGGAGTTCAAGAACTGGCATTAGAAGGGGCTGAAGGTCATTTTCTGGCTCTCTGTGAGCAGAGGTTTGGCAGGGGTCGGAGGTGCAGCTGTGGATAAACCTCCTGCAAACACAAGGCAGGGCTTGCCCTGCCTCTAACTCCTCCTGTCTCTCGGTGCTGCAGGTTGGTGGCTTTGCCTGGGAGAACTGTGGTGACAAGAAGGACCCTGTGGTGCTGCAGAGCCTCTCTGTGGCACCCGACCCCATCAGCATCCCGGGGAGCCTGCGTGTCAGCGCAGCTGTCAAGAGTGGCAAGACCATGGGCTCCCCTCTGAAGGTGAGTGCCAGATGTGCCTCTGGGTGTGAGGGAGGGCAGAGCTTCCTCAAACCACTGGCAGCTGGGAAATGCCTGTCATGGGTTCAGGAATGAGCAGCTCTTGAGGAGTGAGGTGCAGAGAGGTGCAGGGCTGAGCACACTGGGCTCTGTAAGCCAGAGCAGGGCAGTGGGCATGGGGAGACCTGTGGTGGGAGCAGACAGTTCAGTAGGAGGCTCCTAACTTTGTTGCTAGGACAGAAACCACCTGAGTCGTTTCATGTCCTGGGGATGTACTGGCTTCAGGAGGGAAGTAAAACCCAAGCACTGTGGGTGCTTCTGGAGGTCACTGCAGCACTTGTTTTTCAGCAGCCAACCCAGCTGCTCCCTCCAAGGACATGCCATGGCACTGCTCTGGGAGCCTTGGGCCATGCCAGCTGCCCTGCAACACTTTCTGGGAAGTTTTTTGGAATGAGACAGAACATGTCTCTTGTCCAGTGTGCGTGGGCTGTCTTGAGCAATGCTATGGTGTCTGTTTGGGCCTGGGAATCTGGGGCCAGTGCAGGGGGGGGTGAGAAGCCAGAGCTGCAAGATGGGAGCACCCTGGGAGTTTTGGGACAGGCAGAAGAGAGGGGAAGGGGGTGGGGATGTGAGGTGTTGGGAGGTATTAGCTTAAGGGGTCAAACTAAGGTTGGAGGAACAGAAGCTGCAGGTTGAGAGGAACTGAAAGTCAGGAGGGAGAGGCAGGAGAGGGTTTAGTGACCTCATGGACATCCCAAAGATTGCATGACCAGGAGCTGAGGGAATTGGCTGGTGAGGAGCTGTGGGTGCCCCTGCTGGTTGTGCTGGTACTGAACACCTTCCCTCCAGGCAGCGCTGGTGGTAGAGAAGGCACTGGGTGACCTCTGGATCCAGCTGCCCTGCATCGACCAGCTGGGCAGCTGCACCTACAACGACGTCTGCAGCATTCTGGATGAGCTCATCCCACCAGGCACACCCTGCCCGGAGCCCCTGCTGACCTACGGCATCCCCTGCCACTGTCCCTTCAAAGCGGTACGGCCGCGCCCCGCGGTGACGCTGCCACTGCCAGTGGGTACCACTGTGCCCTTTGGTGCTGGGCTGGCCTTTTGGTTGACCTCGTGCCTGTCTGTCCCCTCTCTCCACAGGGCTCCTACTCCCTGCCAGCCAGCGATTTTGACGTGCCCGATGTGGAGCTGCCTTCCTGGATGACCAACGGCAACTACCGCGTGCGGGTGGTGGTCAGCAATGGCGGGGAGGAGCTCAGCTGTGTCAAACTGGCCTTCTCCCTGCACTCCCACTGAGGGGTGGGACACCGTCCCTCCTATCCCCTCCAGCTTGGTCCCCTGTCCCATCCCATCCTGTCCCAACCCATCCCTGTGAGGTCCATCCCTCCTGCTGTCAGGAGGAGGCAGCCCCTGTCCCCCCCAGCATCTCCTCTCCTGCTGCACCCAGAGAGGCCCCTTTGGCTGTTCTGCTGTCCCCAAACCCATCACCAGGGTGTCTCCTGCCTGGACAGGGTGGCCTTGGAGCCTAACTCCAGCATGAGCTGGGGTTGTTATTTTTTATCCAGTTTCTTTTTTTCTTATCAGGGCAATTTTAGACAAAAACATTCCAGGGAAAAGCAGTATTTCTGGGAGCAGTCTGTGGGGATGAGGGGGTGTTTGGGGGTGCTGAGGCAGGCTAGAGAGATGCAGCACTATTTGCAGAGGGTGTCCCTGCTTCCCACCATCTCTGGCCAGAGCACAGGGCTGTTTTGCAGAAGTGTCCCCAAAGTGGCTGAAGGTGACCTGTCCCCACACAGCAGCTTTGGATCTGCTGTTGCTGTATCCTTGTCCTGCATGGGGGACCAGCCTGGTGGCATGAGGCACCTGTGAAGGCACCTCCCCATGCCCCTCCTGTGGCAAACAGGAACACAAGAGGATAGAAACCACCCGAGCCCCACATGGACATTCCCAGTCAGGGGGGACCAAGAGGCTGGTGATGCTCCCAGCAGCAGGAGAGGTTGCTGGTTGATGGCTGTGCTCATTCCAGAGGGGGACACAAGGCTGTGATGAGCTGCTGGGGCACAGCCGGCTGAGAACCAGTCACATTCTTCTCATTTTTCCTCTGGGAGTGAGCCGAGGCAGGATGCTGTGCTGGGACTATCTTTCCCCTGTGCTGGCAGAGGCACCCAAACACAGCAGCATCCTGAACATGGGATAACTGGGAGAGGACCATGAGGACCAGCAGCCTAGATCCTGTCTGGGGGTGTCCTGGCTGTGGCTGGGGACTGCCATGTGGGCAGGCAGCATCCTTCTTGCTGCAGCTTTGAGCAGGGTGTGAGGCTGTCATCACTCCCCTGTGCCAGGTGCCACCAGCCACCCACATCCCTTGCTGTCCCTGCCTGCTTGTGTTATGTAGCCCCTCGATAGGGCTGGTCTTCTACAAGCACTTTATACGCCTTAACTGCTGCGGGTGTTCCTGCACCACGCAGATGTGCTCCCACTGCCTTTCTGTGCCCTCCACTCACTTTGTTTCACCCTGTGGCTTTGCCTGGAGAAGCACTAACCCTCTGCCCCTGCTCCCCTTCAGTGCCAGGGCAGCAACCTCCTTTTGGGCAGGTTCTGCAGGTTCTTAATAAATCTTTTTACCAGGACATGGAGCTGGTGCCTCTTGTTGCTGGGGGGGACCTGGAGGTGACATTTATTTTGCTGGGAATAGTGTGGATGCGGGTGTGAGCTGGGGGAAGCGGAGGTGGTGTGGTGGGGCAGCAGAGGAGGACGCTGTGGCCAGTGGAGCTGAGCAGCCCTGAGGCCAGTTCCTGTGTGAGGAGCAGGGCAGGGATCTGCAGGCGCTGCTTTGTGATCTGGGGACACAGGGACACAGCCATGGCCCAGGGGGACACAGTTCAGGCTGAGGCGCTCTGAGGGTGTCGCTCATCTGGGTGACTTCTATAATGCTGATTCCTGCATGGCTCTGCAGGCCTCGCCCCAAGGAACAGCCCTGCTGGGGGATCACGGAAGCACAGAATCAGTGAGCTTGAAGAAGATCTCTGTGGTCATGACCCCGCTCTGTGAGTCCAGCCCATGGCTGAGCACAACCATGTCCCCTCCACCATGGTGCTGAGTGCCACATCCTTAAACACCTCCAGGGATGGAGACTCCACCATCTCCCTGGGCAGTCTAATCACTCTCTCTGTGAAGAAAGCCTTCCTAAAGCCCAGCCTAAACATTCCCTGGCGCAGCTTAGCACCTTGTCCTCTTGTCATGCCGCAGGTTGCCTGGGAGCAGAGCCCGACGCTAGCTGGCTCCACCGTCCCTTCAGGGAGTGGTAGAGAGCGATAAAGCCACCCCCGAGCCTCCTCCAGGCCGAACAAGCTCAGTTTCCCCACAGCACTCGGCTCCAGACCGCTGCCCGTTCCCGTTCCCGTTCCCGGTCCCGTCCCCGCAGTCCCTCGGGGTTCGGCGCTCCCGCCCTTCCCCTCAGCGGCCTCTGCACCGCCCGCCGCCAGGGGGCGCCGCCGCGCCGCCCCTCGCCCTCAGCGCTCCCCGCGCGCACGCGCCGCGCTCAGCTGAGCGGCGCTCACGTGACGGCGCGGCCGAGCGCGGCCGCCTGTCAGGCCGCCGCGTGCCCGCAGAGCCGGGGGCGCGGCGGACGCGCGGGGTGCCGGCAGTGCCGCTGCTCCCCGTGGGTGCTCGGGGCAGCCCGGGCGCGCTGACGGGACTCGCGGCCTCGTCGGCAGCCCCAGTGCATGGGCGGGTGCTCCGGGCCCGGGGCTCCTGGCGGCTGCCATGGGTGCTGGAGGCTGACACGGGGGTGCTGGCACCCCGTGGGGCTGCCCCGGGAGTGTCCGGCTGTGCCCTGCCGTGCAGGGGCGCAGCCCCGCTGTGAGGCGCTGGGAAGGGTGCGGGATGCTCTGTGGCGCTGGGAGGGTGCAGGGAGCCCCACACTGCAGGCTCAGCTGTGCTGCTCTGTGGAGGGACAAGGGGAGCTGGGCAGCACAGCCTGGCTGGGGTGGGAGCTGTGGGCGCTGGTGGGTCTGTGCCCAGCAGCTCTGTCCGTGGGGAGAAGCTGGGCTGTGGGCACCGGGCTATGCTGTGAAATGTTGGAAAGGTGAATCTGGGGATTCTCTGGAGCACTGGGTAGCACAGGGACAATAGGACTGATGACTGGGAGATGTCGGGCTGGGATGGACATGGTGGCCTGGGGAAGGAGCTTGTTGTTGGCTCTCCCTTGTGTCACGCTGAGATGGGTTATTACAAGTAGTGCTTTGGAAATGAACGATTCAGCACACATGGTGGGAAGCAGCAGTGAAGCTCACTTTTCCAGAAGATTTCCTGATTTATACACAGCCCCAGCTCAGCTGGGGAGAGCTGTCACGGTCAGCAGCAAGTAACAGCTTGCTTTTGGTTTCTGGCATGGGGCTGTCACTGTAAGGGACAAATTGCTGTCACTACCCCCCAGCTTTCCTAATAGGATGAAATTGCTTCTGTGTGTGGGTGGCAAAAAAAGCACATGAAAGTGGCTGAGGAGTTGGGTTTGAAGTGGGAACTGAATGTAGATGTTCCTGTCTTTGCTGTTTCCAATTATGAGGAAATTGTGTAGTGGGGTTTTGCTTTGGTTTTGAGTGTTTGTCATATGGATGAGACAAGTTTTGTAGCTTTTCCTTGTTGGTTGCGGGAGAGCAGAGTGCTCTCTCCCTGCTGCTACGCAACCTTTAATCCAGACACAAGGCAGGCAAGTCACGGTGAATGCATTTCCCTGGCTCTTCAAAGCAGAAAGCAGACAGGCCTGCTTGAAAGGGAAAAAAAATCCACAGGGAGCGATCAGGCAGAGTGATGTCAGCACGTTGTGTTTATCTCGAAGTCGCTGCTCTTGGGTACTTTGGATGCTGTGTGGAGCATCTCTGGGAAGGGTACCCATGCCCAACCCAGTCCTGCACCCCCTGTGCCTGCTCTCCTTGCCCTCTGCCAGCCCGTGGTGTTTGGCAGAGCCTGCCAGGTTTCTGTCCTGCCCCTTGGGCCTGTCACGGATGACAAATGGCTTCTAACGCTTTCCTTGTGTAAACTCCTGCTGCCGCTCTTCCCGGCCCTGCCTCGCGGATCGGCCTGCCTGCGGCAGAGCCGGTTCAGGACACCATTACGTGTCCCAGCTGTGAGGGAGGAGGCTGGGCAGGAGTGATGCATGTGCTGCCTTTGGCTCTGGAGTGCCTGCCAGCCAGCCTCACTGCTGCTCCACAGCCTGGTGCTCTACGGGACATGCTGCTCCTTCCTGCTGCTGGTGTTGCGTGGTGCTGTGGGAAATACAGCACTGCTGCTGTGGCCTGGATAACTGCTCAGAGCAGCTGGGATCTGCAGCATCCACACCTGAGGAAAAACCCTTGTTCTCTGCTACCCTTCTGATCGCCAGGCTGGACCCTCCCAGTTGTTGCAGCTCCTGGTTTGTTTTCCATGTAGCAGGCAGGTTTGCAGAGCAGTGCTCTGGGGAATGCCTGGTGCTCTGAAGAATCACCTGGGTGGCCTGGGCTGAGCATTCCTGGCACGGCCAGATGTGTTGGTCTGTGCTGAGGTTGCATCTGGCAGGTGCTTGCATGACTTGGTGGGTTCATGAAGAGCTCTGGCAGGAAACAAGACAGTTTTTTGCTGTAGTAACATTTTTCTGCTGCTTCCTCTTGCTCCCAGTTCTTCACCAGTGTTGGGGAGAGGGATGGGGGAGCACCAGGACTGCTGGGGCAGGTGTGAAGGCTGTGGCATGATAGCCCAGAGGAGCCGTGGGGCAGGGACTGGGTCACCAGCCTGTGGCGCAAGAGCCTTACACATAATTTCCCTGCCTCTGGTGCTCCTTCCCAGTGGGTGTTCGGGATACTGGGTGTGGCATGTGTGGGAATTGAACCAGCTGATTGTTTTCCAGACAAAAGCATGAGGTGTGCGTCCTTGGTGAGGCTTGTGCTGGTGCTCCTGGCTTGCTGGACACAGTTATAGTTTCTGTTGGAGCAAGAGCTCCAGGCTGTACAGGTGCCTTATCCTGGGAAGCCCCTTTGCCCCTCCTTGGCTGTGAAACCTTTGGGGCAGGTGTTTTGCTGTCAGCACATGGTCTGTGCTCCTCTCAATGGGAGTATAATAAATTTTTGTAAAAGTTCTCCTTAATAAAAAGTCTTCCATTAGGGAAAAAAAAAAAGGGAAAAGAAAAAAAAAGAGAAGTTAGGAAACTTTCCCTTCCCTGGCAAGAGCAAGCTGTTCCCTCACAGCACACTGTGTGCAAGTTAAAAGCAGTTACACTTTCCTGGCCCATCCACTTGACAGCCCTAGTCCTGAGTGCCAGAGCAGGGGACACAGTGCCAGCATGTCCCCTCCTACCCCGCTGCCTGTGGTGTCACATTCACCACCCTTAGAGCAGGGGTACGCAGCTCCCGTGCCGGACAGGAATTGGGTCACATCCAGCTCTGCCTGCAGGATCCTGACCCCGTTCTGACTGGGTGTGCCCAAAACACGGGCACGAGCCTGAAGGAAGAGCCAGTGGGAATGTGCCATGCACCTTTGACCTTAGGACATGCCAAGTGTGTGATTGCTGGGGCGGGAGCATGTGGCTGTATAAAAGCCCTGGAGGAGCTCTTGCTCTGGCAGTGCGAGCCGCTCTCTGTGCACAATGGCTGACCCCCAGAAGCCTGAGGATGGGGCTGTTGAGCTGGGCACCCCTAATGCCACTGCCCCCACAGGGACCATGTCCACCCGGCGCCTCCGCAGCGAGGACTACAATGACTACAGCTCCACAGATGTCACACCAGAGGGGAGCCCTCCTGATGGCATGAATGGCTTTGCTCACCCCGAGTCCTACCAGCGCTTCGGGGAGGCCAATGGGACAACGTGAGTGATGCTTCCCTCCTTCCTCGGCTGGCCTGGCACTGGGGAGGGCAGAGGAGGTCATGCTGGCTCCCTGCTGACTTTGCTAGAGGATGGTGGAACTGTGGTTTTATGGGGAGTTCTCATGAGGGTGATGAGGGCAGAGTTGTGGTCCTGCATCTGTGGGGTGCTGGCACCAAGTGAGCAGCTGCCCCAGTGTAGCTCTTTGCTCTCTGGTGAAGCTGGGCTTGCTGACACTGGGCAATGATTGATGCTTTTCCCAATATTTTCCCAATATTTTTCCACCTTTGTTCTGGCAAGCAAACAGCATGCCCAGATTCAGAGCCAGCCGTGTTCTGTTGAACCTGGGCTTGCTGGCACTGGGCGGTGATTGATGCTTTTCCCAATAGTTTTCCATTCCACCTTCGTTCTGACAAGCAAACAGCATGCCCAGATTCAGAGCCAGCCGTGTTCTGGGGGCTTCCTTGTGCCCAGGTGTGCAGAGGATGCTGTATTTGCCTGACAGAGACTGATCCCTTCACCTCAGAGACTTCCTTGTGCAGCTCCTTGGTGCTGGGCTGTGCTTGTGCTGGGTTTTGCCATGAAGCTGGTTTTGCAAATGCCCATCCAAAATCTGTTTGTTCAGTCTTTGCTTTCCCACCTAGCTCAGTCCCAGCTGGTTGAGGTGGGTTCAGGGGACAGGATCATGAGTTCCATGTGCATTCCCTGCAGCAGTTCAGGGCTGCTGTGCACCCCTAACAGGATAAGCTGTGTATGGTCTGGGTGTGGGCACCTGCTGACAGTGACCTCTGCATCTTCTCTTCCCTCAGGTGGTACCAGACCCTGATCCATCTGCTGAAGGGGAATATTGGGACAGGGCTGCTGGGGCTGCCTCTGGCTGTGAAGAATGCTGGCATCCTGGTAAGGCAGCTCAGCCCTGCTGTGCTGGAGCTGGTGGGGCAGAGTGGCCCTGGGGCACTGGGCAGCTCACACAGCCAGTGTTGGGGGTGTTGGGGCTTGAGTCCCTTCCCAGACACCTCTCAGTGTTTGGTGACTTGCATGTGTTTGCACCTCAAGCTCTGTGGCTTTGTTTCGCTGCCGAGACTGTTCCTGCTGCCCCTGCATTGTTGCTGCCTGGTGTGGGGGAGTTCAGTGTGTGAGCTGGGTCTGTGGTTTCCTCTGCTGGGGTCAGGCAGGACGCTGTGTCCAGGTCATGACCTCTTCATCACCTGCATAGTAGAGATGTGCAAGATAGTTTGGAAAGCAATCCTGGAAGCACATTGCTACACCCAAACTGCCCCAACTTTCTTCTTTTGCATCATTCCTGCAAAGCTCGTGACTCTGTCAGGTTACTTGGTCCTGGGGGGCTGGTTCCTGGGAGCTGCACCAGAGCTCTGGTTCAGCCTCCAGCAGTGTTTGCACTCAGCCAGCCCATGGAGTTTCTTCTGGAAGTAGAAGGCACAGTGCAGCTCTGCCTTTGGCCATCAGAGTGCAGCCTTCCCCCTCTCTTCCCTGCAGCTGGGTCCTCTGAGCCTGGTGGTGATGGGAGTCGTGGCTGTGCACTGCATGGGCATCCTGGTCAAATGTGCCCATCACTTCTGCAGGAGGTAAGGAGCAACTCCCCTTCTCAGCCCTGCAACTCCTACAGTTCTTCCCTCATACCCAAAAAGCCCTGGGGTTTTTCTGAAGCCCCTCAGCAGCAAGTTGCCCATTCCAAAGCCTCAGGTGGGAACTTCTCTTCTTTTTCACAGGAACGTTTTCCTTTTAATGTCACTATTTGCTTTGGGAACTAGCAGACAGGGCTGAAGTGATGATCCTTCTCCCTTCTCTGGACAGGTTCCAGAAGCAGTTTGTGGACTATGGAGGTGCTGTGATGTATGGGCTGGAGGCAACTCCCAGTGCCTGCCTGAGGACACATGCCATCTGGGGAAGGTACTGCTCCCCTGCCCTAGGCAGGGACTTGTCTTTGAGCCTAGCATGTGCTGCAGCCGTGACAGAAGAGCCTCTGATCACTGAGCTGTGTCAGCAGATAAGCACAAGTGACATAAAACGCTGTTTGGCTCACCTGCCCTGAGTGCTCAGTGTTCCCCAGAGGGTAATGCTGAGGTCTTTGATCCAGTACTGTCCCCAGCCAGATGTGACTTACACTAAATGCGTGGGATGATTAAGTCTCCCCAGTATAACAGAGGTGAATAGGGTCTTGCAGTGCTGGCCCATCTTGTTAGACATGGAACGTGTCCAGTGGCTGCTCCCTGCCCTGTGGGTGTCCCACATTGCATCACACCGATCACTGCCCATCAGGGGATGGGAGCATTCACCTATTCCTGTGTCCAGGGAGTGTTGTCTCCAGCTCCACAATTCAGCAGCAGACTGGAGATGCTAAACCCAAAAAGGAGACTTTTCTCCTGAAGCTGGTTCTGACCCTGTGAAAGGGATGGGAGGGGGACACTGGAGAGCCTGAGATCTGTGAGATTGGGTGGAGAGAAGGTCCTCTCTCCTGATCACAGAGAAGTGAGCTGGGTGTGCTGTGACCTGTACACCCCAACCTCGGGGAGGGCTCTATTTCCATGTGATGTGGCTGGCAAATGCTCTTCTCTTGCTTTCCAGGCGTATAGTGGGACTTTTCCTGATCATCACTCAGCTGGGTTTCTGCTGCGTGTACTTTGTCTTTCTGGCGGACAATCTGAAACAGGTTGGACTTACACCTCCTTCATGAGCTGGGGGGAGGTGAGAGGGTGTGAAGGTGCTTGGGTTGTTCTTAGCTCCTGTGCCCTGTTTCCCACCAAAGGTCTGGTTTCTATAGGATATGTTGCTCACAAAAGTCCACTTTGCCCAGATATTTTGGAGGATTGGTTTTCCTGTTCAAACAGAGCAGGTTTTCCTGAGAATCTCTGTGATTTTGCAGAGGTGCTGGAGGTGTCTGTGTTGCCCAGGAAAAGTGAGGCCATCCTTAGTGAGGGAACAACAGGAAAGGGATGAAAGCAGAGGGACTGTGCGTTTTCTATCCTGTCCCCCTCAGTTAATTGGTTTATTGGTGTTGATAGTAACGTGTAGGTCCCAGGACCTGCTGTGAACTCTCTTCTCCCTTCCTTGGATCTGTTTGCATTCCAGTTTCTTTCCTCATCCTGTGGCTCTGAAGCTTAATTACATCTTTAGAGAAAGAGTTTCTTCCTGCCAGGCCTCAGGAGGAAATAAACAGAAACCCTGAACCGCTTGGCTGGCTCCTGTTCTGTAAGAAACTGGGAATAATGAGTCCCCATTCCCAGCCTCCACCAGCTCAGTGCCTTGCAGGCACTGCTGAGCTTGTTTCCCCATGTGCTCCTGCTGTGCTCTTGCAGCAGTGCTCTGGACACTGCCACCATGGCTCTGCCCTTTGTCAGCTTTTCAGTGATGGTCATCAGCTCCTGGGAAGCAAGGCGGGGATCCCTCCAGTGTGAGACTCTTCCTCTGCTCCTGGAGCAGCAGTGAGGAGATTCCCATTGTGGGGTGGCAGGAGGAGTAAATGGGTCCACACTGGTGATCCACCAGCCCTGAGAGCAGGAGGGACCAGGCTGTGTGCAGGGCCAGGCTGCTGCTGGCCCCCACCCCTGGGACCAGCACCCTGCCCCACTTCAAGGTGGGCTTCTTTCTCCTCAGCCCCTCACAGCAAAGACTGAAGGTTGTCTCAAGCCTCAGGGGAAATTTGCAAAAACCTGCAAATCCACACCAGTTTTTTAGGCCACATCTGGGAAACCCCTTGGCTTTGGTTTTGGAATTTTTTTGGGTGGGGAGAGGGGAGTGTTGCTTGTTTCTTTTTGTGGTGAGGAATAGCGTGTTAGGTGGAGAGTCATGGTGCAGGTGGTACCTTGGGCAAGGTGCCACTGTGTTGGGCAGGGCTTTGGTTTGGAAGAAGGCTTTGGAGCAAGCCATGAAGAGGCAGGGCAGGCTGGGGCTTGAGCAGCACTGTCCCATGGGTGCATGGTCCTGCACTGCCCTCTCCCACAGAGGATGCTGGTTTACACAGAGTTCTTCAGCCTCTCCTCTGGAGCAGGATTTGCTCTGGAGCTGGTTAAATCAGTTTGCAGACTGCTCTTCGCTGCAGTGACTGGACAGGATGTGCTACCTGAACCAGCTTGGTCATGGTTGTATTGTGATTGAGGGAGCCATGCTCTTGGGGGGGATGGCTCAGCCACCCAGTTCCCAGGCCTGAGCAGCCTCTAGTAGTGAGCACATGGCCTGGAGTGCCTTTGGAATGAAAGACCCCAAGGAAAGAATGGTTTGTCATGAGAACGTGAACTTGGGGGCCAGCAGTAGTTTCCAGATGTCCTTGCATGTGAACAGGGCACTGGGTAACTGAAGGACTGTGACTTAGATAACAACTTGGGGCAGCAAGAGGGAAAAGATACCTTTGGGAATAGCACTTAGTGCCTCTTTCCTCTCTTCTCAACTGACCTCGTGGGCAGTGCAAACATGCAGTCTGTGCTTTCTGCCCTCTGTGTGCCTGGCTGCTGAGTCCTCCTGCTCGGTGTATCTGGGTTTGGGCAGGATTTGCTCGCCTGGCTCAGGTGCCATAGCCAGTCCCACCTCTGCCCCCTTCAAGATAACAAGGATTTGCTTCAGAGCTGTCTGAAAACACGTGTTGGTTTGATTTCAATCAGCTAGCTGTGTTTGAAGTAGCTCTTGGAGTACTCTGACCCACTGGGATGGGCTGCTAAGATTCGTGTGGCTTTTAGACCTCTGTGATGAAGTTCACCAGGGCTTCCTGTGCTTCCCCAGGTTGTGTCTGCTGCAAATGGGACCACCAATGACTGCAGCCCAAACAGGACGGTGGTGATGACCCCCACCATGGACTCCCGCCTGTACATGCTTTCCATCCTGCCTTTTGTGGTGCTGCTCACGTTCATCCAGAACCTCAAGGTCCTGTCCATCTTCTCCATGCTGGCCAATGTGGCCATGCTTGTCAGCCTTGTAGTGATCTACCAGTACATCGTCAGGGTACGTGTGTATGGCTCCCCTCTCTCCTTTCTCTGCTGTCCCATGTTTTGCCAGGTGGAGGGAGCTTGGCAATGGGGTATTTGGATGCTGTGGGGTACTGCTTGTTCTTGATGGTTCCCTCTGCTCTGCAGGGCTTTCCCTGCAGCATGGGGCTGTGAACAGGGGGTGATGGGAACAGGCCAGGTCTTCCCCGTCCTCCCTGCGACTGAACTCTACATGGGCTTTTTTCCAGGATATTCCAGATCCCAGAAACCTGCCTCTAGCAGCAGCCTGGAAGACCTACCCTCTGTTCTTTGGCACTGCAATCTTTGCTTTTGAAGGCATTGGTGTGGTAAGTCTGGGCATGTGGCAGTGGGGCTGCTGCACAGGAGGCTCAACCCTGCTCGGACTTGCTGCAGCACCTGCTCTGCTTTGCAGCTGCAGTTGCAGCTGAACTTCTCTGACAATAGCCCAAATTCTGGATGATGCTGTTAGCTTTAGCTCCAGGCTGTCTCCTGGGTCAAACTCTGGTGCTTCCATTTGAGGCTGGAGGAGCACATGCTCCAAACCTCAGGAGGTTGGTTGCTGCTTTAGAGGTGGCTTTATCTGGCAGTAGATTGGGAATCACACCAGACTCTGCCTTGGGCTCTGCTGGCTGACCTGCAGATGAGGAATTGTCCTGAGTCTTGTGAGCAGGCTGGATCCTGAAGTTGCCTAAATGGGAGGCCAAAAAGTTGTGCATGAAAAGATGTGATCCTTCCCTTCCCACCCGGCTGCGGGGGCACTGAGATCTCCTTTGGCAGCCGCGTGGCCCCAGCCTGCCCATGCAAATGGGCCTCTCGTGCAAGATGCTGTAAATAGACCCACTGTGTCTGTGAAAAAAGCTGGCTAGGTGGGTGGAGAGCTTAATTACTCCCTAAGATGTTGTGAGTTGTTTCCGGGAGCTCCCTTCAAAGGAGGAAAAAATGTTTTCATCTCTTAATATAAGCTGGCTGTGTAAACACAGGGCTGGAGAGGGCCAAATCCGTTACAGGAGGAGTGCTTACTGAATGCTGTGCCCTGGGCTGAGGGTTCTTGCCAGCACTGAGGCACAAATGCTCTCTTCCTCCCTTACTTAGAGGTGAAGAAGCAAATAAAAGTTTTTCTTGTCCTGCCTCCTCACCAGATCTGCCATTGTCTCTCTTCTTGAAATCAACACCACCCAAGGACAGCTATAAAATTGTTTGCTGAAGGCCTATATTTAGTGTCAGTAGTATAGAAGTGGGAGAATTACCTCTCCTTGCTCTTTTTTATTGTCCTACCTGGTTGGAATCTATCCAGGCAAACTTGCTAGCACAGCAGAGTGTGTCTTAGTCTTTCCAGAATTTGCTGGGGAAAATAGGAGGGTGTAAAATAGTGGGCATGGCTGTGCTGCTTTGGGGTGCAGAGTGTAACACACCCAAGATATGGGGTGGTTGGCATTGCCCCAAGACCCAGCACTGGGCACAGCTCCTGCCAAGGGCAGGGAGCAGGTCCCATCTTTAAGACAAGGGTGTGGGTGATTTGTTGGAGACTTGCTATGCTCCAATGGGAGCACAGAAATCGGATCTCCAGTACAGTTTTTTTTTTCAGCTGGATTCTCCAAGCTCCATGTAGGACTATCCCATCCTGGTATGGTGGGCTGTGCTTGACCATGGGGCTGCCTCTCCTTCTTTTTGGGCCTGAGGGGTATAGAGGAACAGGCAGCCTGCTGCTCTGTCATCTTCCTCCTCCTCTTCTCCAGGTGCTGCCTCTGGAGAACAAGATGAAGAACCCCCGTCAGTTCCCAGTCATCCTCTACGTGGGGATGGCCATTGTCACCATCCTGTACATCAGCCTGGGTGTCCTGGGCTACCTGCGCTTTGGGGCAGACATTCAGGCCAGCATAACACTCAACCTGCCCAACTGCTGGTGAGTCCCTGTGGGCAGTGGAGGGACTGGGGAGGGAATGAGGGGCCCAGATAGGCAGGTGGGAGAGGGGGACCTCACTCCTTACAGGAACTAATCTGGGTGAGCTTGAGGATGCTTAAGGAACTGAGCCATAGGCAAACTTCAAGGAGTTTGACAAGGATTGTCATGTGCTGGAAGAGGCTTGTTGCTGTAGTGTCTGAGCTGTTGCTCTAGTGTCTTGGAGCTCAGGCAGCTTCATCAGGGTCCCTGGTGGTCCCTGCCTGGGTAGGTGCAGCTCTTGTTTTCTTGGAGCCTTGTGGCATCTTTTTGGGGCTCAGCAGGGCACTGGCTAGCACGTGTTGAACATAACCCCCATGCAGCCATACCAGAACTCACTGAATTGTGCAAAACTTCTCTTCCTCAAATGTAGCATGTGAAAAACCAGCCCAAAGCTGGGAGCTCCCAGAGGGACTGAGATGTGACATCCTCATGTGTGGGTTGTGTTCCTTGTTTGCAGCCCTGGAGCTGAAACTCCCACTTCTGTGCTCCACATTGTGTCTGGATGTGGCTCATGTTGAGCCAGTGCTTTGCCTATCAGCACTGGGGCCATGAGGATACCCCTTCCTTCTGTGGGGGCTGAGCTCTGCAGCCTCCCAAACCTGTCTGTCCTCTGGGATCTGGTGAAGCCTCTTGAGATGCTCCAGTTTCTGTCTGGAGCCCTGTGGTCTGATCCCATGCCTGCCTGCCTGGAGGGATTGTTTCTCCTCTTGCCAGGGCTGCAGCAGCTCTCTGTCCTTGAGGATGAGTGGCTGCTCAGTGTCATGGCTCCATATTCTTCCACAGGAGGAATGCAGGCAGTCCTCTTTGATGTTGTCTGCTAGCTTGAAATCCTGCAAAAGAGCAGAGTGAGACCCGGAGCTGGGGGTGCCTGTCCTCCACTTCAGCCCTCTCTGCTCCTAGTAGCACCCAGCACCTTGCAGTGGGACTCACTGTCTCACTGTTGGAGTAAATTTGGGCAGGACTCAAGTTATGAGTCACTGGTGCTTCCACATGCTGTCCTTGTAGAGCTGCACAGCTGGGGCTCTGGAGACAGCCATGATTTGACAAAAAGAGAGCCTGGTTTTGCTTTAATTATTGCTGTGTGGGTTTCTTTTCAGTTTGAGTGCATGGATGTTCATTCATGCTGGGTCTGTGTAGTGACTGCAGTGCTGGGTGTTGGTGTTGGTGTGGTAGAGGATCCTGCTCCTGCCAAGGGCCTTGTCTTGTCCCCTGCAGGCATTGGGAGCTCTGCCAGGTCCCTGCTCTCAGTGAGGAGGGATGGGGCTGGTGGAATGATGTGCCTGTGTTGTAGGGAGGACTGAATCCCACCATGCCAAGCACAGGAGATATGAATCCCTTCTGCTCAGTAAACAGAAGTACAATGTGGAGGGGATGAGATGCTTCTATTTCTGCTGAAGGTGAAAAGCAGATAATTTCCAGGTTTGAGCTCTGCATGCCACAGCCTGCAATGACATCTGCTGGCCTGAAATGCTGCAAGGGGTCTTCACCAGGGAATCTCAGCTCTGTGTAACCTGAGAAATGACATTCCCTTAGAACAGGTCCTTAGAATGGGATTACTTTGACCTGCTAGGCTACAGAGAGAAGAGTGCAAATCCACGTTTGTAGGAGTATCCACACCTTCTGTCTTTTCTTACAGCAAACTACTTTTCTGAAGGTGAAGTATTCTAAAGTTACTTTCCTAAAAGTAGCCATTGGGTTTTTGGATAGTGACAAGAGAATAGCCCTTGGAAGCAGTGTCTGGGGAGGCCTGTGGCAGGGCATGTGGCAGGCCAGCTGCAGGGAAGGTGTGTTGTGGTCCTTGTCACTTGGCACACAGGACACCTTGATGTTTGTGCACGTTACCTCTTGGCAGTGGATGTTGAACTTGGAAATGGGTTATCTCAAGTAAGGGCTGTGACAGTTGAGATAAAGTCTTCACTACCACTCCTGTAGACTAAGCCACAGGTGAAGACTTGCTCTTGAAATGAAAGTCTTGCCCATCCTGCCTCGCCCCTGGGTTTTCTTCCTGGCAGTAAAAGGCTGGGCTATAGGAGCTGGTCATAAGGGCTGTGGGTGAGAAGTCATGGGGTTTGCCTGCAGCCTGGGAGACAAGGCAAGGATTGTGGTGGAGGTGCTGCAGCCTTCCTGAGCTGTAGCCATTGCCTGGGGGTCTCTGGAGCAGATTTGTGAGTGTTTCAGGAATCGTTGAGTTACAGGGTGACTAAGGACTTTTCCAGTCTTGTTTCTCTGAAACCACAGCTTCCTCAAACAAGGAGTGTGTCAGCTCCCAGTGCCCAGGTCTAACCACAGTGTCCAAAATATGTTGCTGCTATGCAGAAATCCTTCCTTGCCTCCTAGGAAGGGTTGCCTCACTGCACTATGTGAAGGGTGAAGAAATGCTGTAATGAGGGGGAAGCTGTTGGGTTGCATGTGGCCAGTTGAAGGTAATGACAGAGCTTATGGTCCCAGGAGAGTATTTCACTTCTTGCAGCCTTTTGGGATGGCCTGGCATGGCAAGCTGGCTGAAGCAGGCGTTGTTGTGGTTGGCAGAGTGCTTCTCCAAGGCCCTGCATGGGCCTTTGTTTTCTGTGAATCAAGGGTAATGCTTGAATTGGTATTTAAAATGCCCTTTGATCTTGTTGTCATGGTTCATGACCTGTGCAGGACAGGTACACAGCCTTCTTCTGTACTTTTTTTAATAACAACTATTAATCTTGGATTGCCCTGGAGCACATGATGGCTTTTATAGAATCCCTTTCTTGGGAATACAGTGATAAGATATGCCAGCCATGGCTTGGTGGCTCAAGGCTCCTGTGCACACGTGTGGCTGCACAGGTGCACTCTGGACTCTGGAGATAACTTTGTGTTCAGTTTGCCTCCGGAACCTCAGGGTAATTCAGCTTGGAGAGGATACCATGGGATCACTGGGTCTCTCACCAGCTTAAGTGTTGCATATCAGTAAGGACAGTGATTCCCTACCAATCCAGGCCCTTCTTCTGGCCCTTAACCCTCCTTTGGAGATGCAGCTCTGTCCCATTGCACCTGGTTCTTCTACTGTGCAACTCCAACAAGAGCCTGTCACTCTCTCCTCCATGCCCTCCTATTAGGCAGCTGAAGACATTAATAACATCCCCTTTTAACCTCTCATCATGCTGAATGAGCTCAAGGCTTGCAGCCTCTTTTTGTACATCAAGCTCCAGCCCCAACCATTTTAGTAGCCTGCACTCAACTTGCTCTGCAGAGTAAGTCAGTGTCCTGTCCTGGAGTCAGGACTGGACACAATATTCAAGATGCACAAGCCCCAAACAAAAAAAATAATCTCTTGAGCCCTGTCCTTCATCTCCTGGCTGTGCTTTTGCTAACACAGCCTGCTTTGTGATTGACCTTCATCACTGCAGGGTCCTGATACTGGCTCATGTTCAGTCTGCTGCCCACCAAGACCCCCAGGTCCTGTTCTCCTGGCCCCAGCCCTTCACATGTGTGGGAATTTGTGCTTGCACTTGAGCTTTGATTGTGACATGTTGTTGCTCTGAGCTGTCAGCCTTTTCTCCAATTTGATCTTGCTTGGAATTTGATGAGAATGTGCTCTGGGTCACTGAAAGCTCATCCAGGTCACTGATGAAGATATTTCCATGCTCACCCCTTGGCAAATCCCTGCTGGCTGTTTACTGTCCAGTATGTGCCTGGAAATAGATACCAGGAAGACTTAACCCATATTCTCCTGGGGACTGAGGTGAGGCTGATTAGCCTGGACCTTCCCTCATCCTTTTTGAAGGTGGCTATTATCCTTCTCCCAAGGCAGTAGATCCTCTCCCTCAGCACCCTGCTCTTTTGAAGATGATAAGGTGGCTTCAGGCTCCTGTTGGCTGCAACCATGAACACATGTGGACTGGTCCCAGAGACTTTTGTAACATTCCATTCACTTAGGTGATCCCTAACTCCCTCTGTGGGAAGTGTTTGACTCTGCCAGACTCTGCCACTGGTGTTCAAAGCTGTCTTGCATGGGAATACTTGGATTTCTCTGATTTAAGGCTGTTGTAGAAGGTGGATGCTGAGATCCACCAGACAGAAGGGCACAGGCCCAAAGAAGGTAGAGGGAAGGCAGGAGCCAGATGCATTCCTCAGCTTGGATCCACCCCATATTTACCCAAGTGGTATGGCCAGGACCCATCTTTTCTGCTTGGTTAGTGTGTCTTGAGTTGGGGAAGGGCTAGGACCATATGTGAGGTAACCAGATGTTACTTCTTGTTTGGAGAGGCTTTTTCTGCTGCTGGGAAGTTGAGGGCAGAGATGGGATGGGAGGTGCCTTCTGGTCACCTGTGATGGGCTCTCTCCTGCAGCCACACTGTGTAACTGTGGGGTCTGGGACATGGTGAGATTTGACTTGGGGTGAGCCCAAGGTGCTGTTAGCAGCCTGTCTGCATTCTGTCTTCCTTCTGCTCAGCCCAAACTGCTCTTTTAACTTGCTTCCCCTCAAACATATATCATGCAGCATTCCAAAAATAGTTGCTCCTTTTTGTTTGATCAGGAGGCTGAGTTGCCTGTTCACATCACTTTGCTTTTGGAACATTGTGAGTTCACTCTGCATGGGAGCCCAGGCTTATCCCAGCAGTGCTGTCCTCTTCCCCCTCCTCAGAAGCCAAGCAGGAGCTGGAATGTGTAATCATGGCTGCAGCTGACACGTCTTTGCTGTCTCTTGCTCAGTGAAGATCCTTGTGAATTAAATGCATCACCCCTAATTTTCTAAGAGTGTTCAGGAGTTCAGACCCCTAGCTCACAAAAGTTCTTGCAGAACATTCCCCTTCTGCTGTTGACGTTGCAGGGACTGGAGCAAGAACCTGTCTCACTGTGTCCTTGTCCTTTGCAGGCTGTACCAAGCTGTCAAGCTGCTCTTCTCCTTCGGGATTTTCTTCACCTACGCCGTGCAGTTCTACGTGCCTGCTGAGATCATCATCCCTCCCCTCGTGGCCCGGGTGTCGGAGCGCTGGGGCTGGCTGATCAACCTGCTCCTCAGGGTGGCCCTGGTCTGTGTCACCTGTGAGTACAAACCATCTTGTCTGACTTTGCCCTATGAGATTGTGGCACCTTCATCCCATTGAGCCTTCACCCCTCACCCCAGCACCTTCAGCCCTGCTGGTCAAGGCCTCACAGCTGGCAGTGCCTGGGCCTGGCTGATACAAACAAGTGGCCTCCAAGGAGCAGCAGTAGTGGTCCTTTGCCCCCTCTGTATGGGACCAGTCTTCTCAGTGGAGGAGTAGGAAACTGCATTGTTTAGAAGTGGCAGATCCCCGTGGAGCCTCAGGCCTGGGGATGGCAGTTTTGCAGGACATCAAGGCCCACCAGGGTTTGCATGGAACATCCAGCACAGGGTTCAGTGCCAGGCCAGCTTAGCCTAGAGGCTGTTTTCTGTAGGCAGTGTGCAGCCAGGCTCCTTGTGCCTGTGTGATGGGGACACGACTGCAGAGGAGTCACTGACTGTGAGGGATGGGCTGTTCTTGTGCCCACACACTCATTGAGCATGGAGCACAGCAGGAGACAGCTGACAGGGGTAGGTGATACATAACCAGAGCTCTGGTGTGCTTCTGGGCAGGTGTGCCTGGAGCAGCCCCACATGGTCCCTTCCCTTCATGGTGTGTGGGGCCTGTAGTGAGGTTTTGGTGGAGCAGGCTCCTGGCTCGAGCCTGATGGACCTTTGGGAACAGTGTGCAGCAAATCAGGTGGTATCTGATTTCGGCTGGCTTTGATTCCTGAAGACACAATGCTTGCTGTTGTCAGCACAGCTGACATGCTTGACTGAGCTCCCTGGCGTCCCCTGCTGAAATGGAGCTTTGCTCCATGGCTCGATGCTGCTGATGCACCAGAACTGAGCATCAGGTGCCTGGCCCTGTGTCCCAGCTGGCTTTGGTTTGGGTTTGAGAGGAGCGTCGTGCTAACTCTGGGGTGGTGGAGCTGGCTGAGATAGGGTGCTGCTGTTTCTGGCTCACTAATGAAAGGCCAGAAGTGCTGCATTAACAGAGGTGGGCAAGGCCCATCTCTGTGCCGAGTTCCTGAACCCTTGATGTCCTCAGAGGGTGCAGGGATGAAATCCTGCCATGCTGGGCCATATGCTGTGGTCACCCTCGTGCTGTGGATGAACTTGGAACTTTCTTGTGGGGTTGGAGCCTCTCCTGGAGGATGTTGGGCTGTGCCAAAACATGGAAGTGAAGGCTGGATAGATGGGATGGCTTTAGGCATTGTCAGTGCCCTCCTGTTGGGGGTAGGGAGGCAGCAGAGGTGTTGGTGGAAGGATGCAGGTTCCTTTGTACCTCCTCCCCTCACCCTTCCATATAGGGGATCTCTGTGGCTCCTGCTGAGGATAAAAGCATTAGGGGGGTTGCATGAATATTCATTGGATGATTGTGTGGCTGCACAACAAGCCCCCACCAGGGCTTTGGCTCCAAAGAGAGGATGCAATCTGGTGTATGGGTGTCTTTCAAGCTTAAACTTCAAAACCAGCATGTTTAAAACCTCTTTGAATTAATACTTGCAGAAATCAGACCGTTTCCCCGGAGGCTGGGGACTGCAGCTGGTGCTTCAAATCTGCTTGTTTTAGAGGGGAGTTAATAATTTTGTTTACTTTTGAGTCCAAAGAGCAGTGTGGGGTTGGGCTGATGATGCTGTTGGAGGGGAGCTGCTCTGCTCTCCTCAGAAGCTGCTGGAGCAGGGGTGCTTCTTGCAGCAGTCACCTGTCAGAGCACTCTTTTGGCTCTGTTCAGGGCTGAGCACCAGGATAAACTGGCTCAGGACCTTTGCTGCTGTTTTCCTTGGTGAAGGGATGGTTTATCTCTAGGCTTATCCAGATAACAGCAGTGTTGCAGTGGTGACACATTCAATCTCCCAAATTTTCCTTCTTCCATCTTTCCTTCTTTCCATCCATGCAGTTCCATGGATGATCTTCAGCTTAGGGAGGCTCTCTTACCTGTAGCTGATGGCCAGGGAAAGAACAAATCTCTCCAATAAGGAGCCCTGAGATGTCCCTTCTCCACAGGGACTGCACCTGCCATGGTTCTAGGTGTCTCCTGTTTCTAAGCAGAAAAGCTTTCAAAGCAGTAAACCAATTTATTTCTCTTGGTCACTGGTTAAGCACTGAGGTCTCCTTTCCTTGCAGGGGGGTTCTCTTGTGTTCTGCAGCGCTCTGGTGACATCCCTGTGTCCCCTCCTGGTGCCATGCAGGAGAAGGAGCAGGAATATGTCGAATATGCTCCCACTGCTAAGCTCAAGCTGTCAGGAGTGTCCCAGGGGGATTTTCCTTGGCTGCAATTTTCACCTAACAAATGAGTCCTAACAAATGTTCTCCCCCGGGCTGTGCCGTGGGCGTGCTGCTGCTGGAGCAGCTCTAAACACACGCAAACCACACGGATTGATTTGGGGTGGGGGGAGATGCCTTTTTCTTCCCTTCTCCTGCTTTTATGGGGTTTCTGAGGCTTTATGGCTCCCCAGGTGTGGGGAGCAGGGGTGCTGGCTCACACAGAGGGGTCGGGAATGCTGGCAGCCAGCGGCACCCATCCTGCTCAGCCCTGCAGCTCGCTCAGGTGTCGCCCAGGGCGACAAAAAGGCTTGTTAATTTAACAGCTTAATTGCTTCTTGGGGAGGAGCTGCCGGAAAAACATGCAGCCTTGTCTTCTGTCAGGGAGGAGGGCAGGGGTGGGACTCAACTAGCTTTGACACGGGGAGGAGCCTCTGTGCCATCTGGGAGGTGGCAGCACTGATGCCGTGTCCCGTGTCCGTTCCTCCTCCAGGCGTGCTGGCCATCCTCATCCCGCGCCTGGACCTCGTCATCTCCCTGGTGGGCTCCATCAGCAGCAGCGCCCTGGCTCTCATCTTCCCCCCGCTGCTGGAGATTGCCACCTACTACTCCGAGGGCATGCACCCCCTGGTCATTGCCAAGGACATCGCCATCAGCCTCTTCGGCTTCGTGGGCTTCGTGGTGGGCACGTACGAGGCGCTGGTGGAGCTGGTGGCACCCGCGGCCACCGTGGTGAACGCCACCACTGTCCTGGTGCAGTGACTGTCCCCTCGCCCCGCTGGCCCCTCTGGACGCTGAGCTGGGGGTGCATGGACACTGGGCACTGCTCTCCTGGGAACAGCATCCCCTCTGTGCTTGGGAAGCGTGCTGGGTTTGGTCTCTGAGGGGATGGGGCTGCCCAGCACTGCGGCCGCCCGGCTGCAGCAGGATCCTGCCCTGGGCTCTGCCTGCAAGGTGGGATCCAGGCTGGGCAGTGCCTTCCCTGGGGGGGCTCTTAGGGCAGGTGTAGAGCAAAGCAGTTCCTCTGTAAATAGGCACTTTGAGAGGTGAGGAATCCCAGGGATGTAGATTTTATTTTATTATTTTTTAAAATCCCAACCTTTCCATATTTCCCCTGTCCCTTAGTCAGGGCAGGGAACAGGGACTACTCTTTTTTGTGCCAGTTTGATTTTATTTTTTTTTTCCCTGAGCACTTTATTTTTACAGCAACAGACAAACCTCAGCTCAGGTTAGAGAGCGTGGAGCTCCCTCCTCACCTCAGCCTTGTGGAGAGGGTGGGCAGAGCCTGAGGTGCGGAGTGTGCTGGGGTCCACAACTCTCTCTCAGTGGGATCCCCATCCATGGGCAGTGGCTCCTGCAGTGCTTCAGCTCTGTTTCCAGCTGCCTTGAGCAGGAAGTCTGAGCAGGCCCTGGAGCTGGGCACTGGGAGGGTTTGCTGACCCTTGGTCCACACTTTCAGTAGTGACACTTCTTTATCCCCATGCAGCGCACAGCCCAACGCTTGGCTTTCAGAAGCTTTACAGAACCCAGGTGTGTGGGGAGCAAACAGGCTCTGCCATAATGAGGGGCTGAGCTGGTCCCCTTTGGGTGGGATGGGGTGTCCCCAGGGGTCACCACGTGCCACCCACACACCACAAGAATACATCACCTTGTTTACAGTGCCTGAGCTGGCCCTGGCACGCTCCGCCTGTGTCTGCAGGCTGATACTGAATGTCAAATCACACACAAAAACTCCATGATATTTCTGTTTTTAACTCTTCCTCTCCTGGTTGCACTCCCTCTGCATCCTCTGCTTCTGCCCAGCTCCTCTCCTCCTGTAGGATGCAGCTCCCTGGCACTTCTCCCTGTGCTCCTGTTGCTTCTTTTGTCGTGGCTGGTGCATGCCTGGTGGGGATGGTCCTGTGGCGCTGCTGCTTTCCTTTCTCTGAGAGCCCAGCTTCCTCCCTAGAGGGTTTTTCCTTGCCTTTCTACTGGATTTCTACTTTTTTAAAACAAGGGAGCAAATGCATCCTCCACAGGCCAGGTTGAACTCCTGCCTGCTAACGCAGCATCTCCCAAATGCCAGCTCTCTCTGGAGAGCCTTCATCCCTCATCCCGCTGCAGCCATGTCTCCCTGGGTGGTGGGAAAGGAGGCTGAGTACAGCACCAGTGGGCTGTGTTCCTCTCTTTGGTGGAGGGTGAGGTTTGCAGTTATTTTCGGTGTTTGACCAGGTTCTGTGAGGAGAAGGCTGTGTGGAGCAGTGTCCCTGCAGCCTGCCTCTCCCTGGGTGCTGCTTGTGGCTGCACTGTGCCCCTGGCTGGCAGCTCTGGGTGCCACATGCTGGTATGTGGACCCATGGCCAGGTGTGGGGTGGGTCTGTGCCATGTCTGTGCCCTTTTCCAGCCCCTCTTCTGCTCCCTGCATCTCTTGGGGCTCACCTCGTCTCCTCCGAGGCTGTGCTGGGGAAGGTTTTGGCTTGGTCAGGAGCAGAGCAAAGCTTTAACTCAACTCCTCCCTCTGGAGGGCACCATGGGGATAGAGAGGAAGCACCCGGGGCTGGGAAGGGGCTGCAGGGCATGACACAGGCGGGACAAGTGCAATATTCATGTCCGTCTCTGTGTACTGACCCCAGCGTGGCCCTTGGGGTTGGGTTTGAGTCAGAGTTGTCAAGCAGAGGAGGCAGTGCTGTGAGGAGCAGGGGATGTGTGATGCTTCCCCTTGCCCTGCTAGCAGTGCACTCGAAGAAGGCTGGCCACATTTTAGGGACAGCTGTGTGCCAAGGCATGTCCCCAGCCTGGCACTGGGCAGCAGTGGGTTTGCTGATGAGGCTCCTGGCATCCAAACTCACTTTGCAAGCAGCAGTGAAGACCTCATGTCCAAGGGGACTGGGATATCACAGAAGCATTAAAATGGGTTTTGCAGCTCTTCCCTTTTATTGGGGTGAGCAGGGGTGTTTGAAGATGGGGCAACTTGTGCTGGTGGCACATGTGGTGTGAGGGGCTCTGCTGAGCCTGGGGTCAAGGATGGACACGAAAACTTGACACTTGTGTATTGTAGGCTGCTCAGTAACCAAGAAACTTGTCTGTGTAAATATAGCAATGGTCACGTCCATGTCTTGTGCCTATGGATATTGTCAGTGTACAGCACAGGTGCCTGCCCAGCAGGAGAGCTGGTGCTGCACCTGAATCATGTCTCTTACTTTAATCAATAAATATGATCTATTTTTTATGTGTAAAGGCTTTGGGGGTGTGAAGTGTGGATTTTTCTTCCAAAAGAAGTGAGAGGAGGAGATGTGGAGCCCAGCAGGCAGCCAGGATTCTATCCTGTGCTGCTCCCACCCCCACACAGCACACACGATTTCCCCTCCTAGTGAGTTTCAATAAAAGTGTTCCAGCTTTGCTGCTTGGAAAATTTAATTTTTCTTTTGACCTCATTTGTGCAAGTAGGTTGTGGGCAGAGCTTCTGGGCTTGTAGGGCTGGGCTTTTCTCTGCCTCACCAAAGCTGGGCCTTGGTTTCTCATCTCCCTATTTATCCCAAAAGTGGGGCTGCAGCTAAAAAAAAAGAGCCTGGCATGTGAAAAAAGATGGGGGGTGCTGAGAGGCTGCAGATCCGCCCTGGAGATCAAAGGAGCAAAAGTCAGCCCACACTGGGAGGCTGCCAGCACTGCTGCAGCTCGGCTTATCCTCACTGCTGAATAATTCATGCCATTGCAGTGTGTCATGACAGGGCTGTTGGGAAATCAGTGCTATAAAAAGTTCATCTTTAGAAACTCTGGCAGATTTTTTTGCTTCAACTAGGAGGCTTTTACAGGCTGATGGGAACTGTGGATCTGAGGTCACCTGAGTGACAGGGCAGGAGGGATGGCGCTTCAGGGTATTTCTGACTCTGGAGAGTGGGTGGTGGGATCCACAGCCATGCTTTCTTAGGGCTCAGCATTGCAGGGCAGCCTCAGTAAAACCATCCCATGAAATGGTTTTACTGAGGCTGCTCCTTCCCAGGTGTCACTTAGAGGAGCTTCATCTCAAGTTGCCTTTGCCCTTCCCTGTGTTGTGACCACTGGCCAAAGCAACTCTGACGAGTTAAAAAGTCTGAATGAAAATATCACTGTTATTTGTGCTGCTTCTGCTGCTGGGAAGAACAATTTGTGTTTTCCCTGTGGGCAAAAGTGGTGCCTGTTGCTGACACCTCAAGATTAAATGTCCTCAAAGTACATGCATTATTTTAGGATGATGTACCAAGCAGAATAAAACCAACTAGATAAAATAGGTCTGGGACTGCTGGGACTGCTTTCTGCTGAGCAGAGCTGGTGAAGAAGTTTTGTGGAAGTGCATGAGAGCTTTGAGAGGTAAAACAGGCGGTGTTTGTTTGGGATACAAATCAAAGATTTCAGTTTGGGTCCTTTCAACCCCTTTACTCCTGAGCTAAGACATACAGGAGGCTCATGGTTTCCCAAACCATGGGTCTGTCTGCCTCATCCCTCTGGCACTTAGAGGATCCTCAAAAAAGTGTTTAACTTGCTGTCTTGGTACTTCTCTGAAAGCTTTTGGTGCCCAAACTAAGCTGTAATTTCCTTGGCTGAAGCTAGGCAAGGATGTCCTATTTATTTACAAGAGAATCCCTGAGATACTGAATAAAATCATAATAGTAAAAAAATCCAAACTCTTTTAATACTTTCCAAAAATTCAACAACAAAAAAAGTTACATCAAACAACCAACCAAAGAAAACCTCTCACGAAGAAACGATACATGTCCAAGCACAAGGTCAAACAGGCAAACCCATGCTCAGTAGCCTCGGTGCCCCTCTCTGCTCAGAGATTCCAGGCAGTGCTGGCCAGTCCTTCTGGGATACAGCACGGGGTGTGCAGCTGCAGCAGTGTGGGACTGTGACAGCCATGGGGACAAGGCTGTGCACACAATCCTTGGGGCAGGGTCCCCCTGACTTGTGTGCACACAGCCCAGCTGGGCAGCCTGGTTTGAGTCTGAGTTGTTCCTGCTGTAACAAACCCTGTTGCTTGGTTTTTCTACAGAAATTGACTTTTTTTTTTCTTTTTTTTTTTTTCCCTTGGACTTCTATTAGCCAGTCAGGGATGTGCTGGTGGGACCAGCTACATTCCCTCTTCTCTCTGCCAGTGTCAGGAAGCAGACATGAAGAGGGTTTGCACCAGCTGATCCATTCCACGAACAAACTGTTGGCTTGATGCAAGCCCTTGGAGCCAGAGCTGGGACAGGGAGCCTCTGTACCCCACAAGGGGCACTGCCAGGCTGTGCATTGCTAATCCTTCCACACCTTTCTCCACCATGACTGCTGCCATACCTGCAGTGCTTGCCCTCCTCCTCCTCCTCATCCTCCCTGTGGCCAGGAAGCCCGGAGTGGGAGGAGGTAGCATGTGTGGTCCTACATGGTGTTGGAGGCAGTCCCCTTGGTGAGGAGGCAGGTTAGTCACTGGCATCCCAGGAGCATCCTCCATGTCCCAGCAGTGGCTGGAGCATTTCCCCTCCATTTGCAGCAGGAGCACCGTGGATGGCAGCGAGGGGAAAGATCCAGCCAAAATTACAACCCAGCCACGCAGGAGGGGACGCTGCAGGCTGAGAGAGACACACACACAAGCCTCCCTTCAGCAGCATGCGCCAGCCCCCTGCACTCTGTTCTGCGTGGAAACGTGCTTCTCTCCTCATCCCACGAGCAAGCCCTGCTAGAACATCACCTCCTCGCAGCTCCCGTAGTCACTCTCCACCATGTCGGAGCCCTCGTAGTTGGGGGGTGGCAGGGGCTGGGCTCGGATGCTGGGCTGGTGGCCCAGCTCGCAGTCGGCGTAGGAGGGCTGGGCCACGCTCAGGCGCATGCTGACCCTCTTGTAGCCCGGCTCGGCCTGGAACGGGACCCCCTCGCCCTGCACCAGCTGTGCTGGGTAGTAGCTGATGGCCGTGTACTCGTTCTGGCACTGGGATGCTCCCACGTCCACGGGGCCCAGCGGCAGGAAGTCCTCCAGGTTCTGGTTGCTGTAGCGGGGTGGGATGGGGGCTCGCTTGTTGCTCTGGTCCAGCGGGAAGGGGAAGCCCCCGTAGAGAGCGACGGGCTCCGTGTCTGCGGGAGGAGGGGGCGGCGGCGGGAGAGGAGGGTGAGAGGAGGAGGCAGGGGGGGCTTGGATGATCTCGTAGTGGGAATACTCCTGGACACCTGAGGACAGGTACTGGGGCGGCCAGTAGGTCGTTTCTGCCGGGTAGACTGGAACAAAAGAAAAGCCCTGTTAGCTGCAGCTCTAGTGGCTGTTGCCTCTCTCTTGCCCTCCTGCCAATTCCCTCTGTAGGCGCTGAGCCTGTAGGAGATGTGGCAGACTAGGGAGGAGAGGAGATATAGAGACAGGGGAGGTGCCACTTTGGGAATTGTGGGGACCTGAGATCACCCCGCAGTGTCCCCACCAGCCTACAGATATCCACTACTCCAGCACCCAAAAGACACACTTCATCATTATGTTTGGATGCAAGAAACTCATGTTATGAAGGGACTGGGGCAGTGATGCCCTGGATCTCTCCCTTTCCCTGCAGTTATTCTTGTGAAGAACTCCTGCATGGGGTAACTTGCTGTCCAGAGCCATTCAAGATGTTTCCCTGAGAATGTCATCCCTCTGCCCAGAAGCACTGATGCAAATGTCTTCACTACACTCCTACTGACTTTTAGGATCTTAAATTTTTTTCCAATTTTTCTCTTTTACAGGCTTTTTTGACCCGGGATCACAGCCTGCTGTGCATTTCCCTGCTGATTGTGTACAAAACCAAGCAGGTTAAAGCAGAAAACTGGGATGTAATGGTGAAACAGGAGGAAAGAGCCAACAAAGGCCCTATAGCAGGGCTGGGGCAGCATTTGCCTCTGCTTTGCTTTGCTTTAGCCAACACCATTTCCCCCCTATGTTTGCAAACCTCAGATCCCCTTCCCAAGGGACAGAGGGATGTGTAAGAACAAGCAAAAGCTGTGGCTACTGACCCATCTCCTCCCTGGCCCAGGTGCACTTGATGAAGGACTCGTTGTCGGAGTTGGAGGGCGGTGCGGCGGGGGGCAGGTTGGGGGCCACGCTGCACACGATGGTGCCCCGGTGCTTCGGGGCGTTGGCCGAGTTGAAGGTGACGAACTCGGGGGTGCCGGCGGCTTTGCGCTGCTCCGGCGTGGCCCGGTCCAGGTTGTTGTGCGCCGCGTCGCTGAGGATGTTGAGCTCGATGGGGGGCACGGGCTGGGTGCCCACGCCCACGCTCTTGGAGAACTCGCTCTTGGAGAGCAGGTCGGGGTCCTCGCGGGCCACCGGCTTGTGCGCCTTGGCGCGGTGGCGGCAGCGCTTGCGGGCGAGCACAAACGCTGCGGCCAGGATGGCCGCCCCCAGCACGCCGGCCGCGATCTCCGCGATCTCCTCGGGGCCCAGCGCCCACTGCGTGGGCACGATGGCTGGCGTGATGATGGGCTGGGTGCAGTAGTCCCCCTGGTAATCCGACGGGCAGATGCAGTACACGGAGCCCTGGCTGCTCACACAGCGCCCGGCGTTGCGGCACGGGTTGTCTTGGCACTCCTCTGCCAGCTTCTCACACCTGTGGGGAGAAAGGGATGGAGACAACCCCTGTCAGCCTGGGATGCAGCAGAAGTGCCTCGTCCTGGTCAGGCTCTGGCTTACACCACCCAAGGATGCTCTGTCCTGGTCTGCTCTCCCTCCCTTGCTGGATTCTTGCTACCTGCTTGTCCTGGCAGAGAATCCTCGAGTATAAAATGATGCTACCTGCTTATCCTGGCAGAGAATCCTCGAGTATAAAATGATGCTTTTCAAAAGACCATGTTACACAGGGTGGTCCTATTTTTTAGTTGTACGCCCAAATTAAAATAGGGGGCTTTCTGCCTCAGAAGAGTGTTTGGAATTCTAGGGCTAACACTGCACAGAGAGATGGTCCCACCCTGTTAAATCAGGGAGCCCAGGGTCAGTGTGAGGTGTGTTAACCTCTTATGAAGCCTCTCATGTCCTCCAAGCTTTATGGAGCCCCTGGATGGTCTGTGGATGTCTGCAGGTTGCAGCAAACATTTGGGAAAAGACTACCCCACGAGGTGGTGAATGGACACCCTTTCTGGAGAGGCTTTTTGACATTTTATGGAGCATCTGCAGAACTGAGAGGGAATTTCTGATTCTCTGTCCTGTTCTACCCCCCACACAACCTAAATGTTGCCAACACTACAGGGGACCTTTCTTCCAACAGCAATGACCTCCCAGTGCTTGGGGGAACAGACAGTGCTTTAATGGCTTTTCTTCCCTTTTTTTGTTCTCGTTACTGAATGAACTCTGTGAGGTTTGCACTGCTCTTGTTGTAGTCAGTGGTTTAGGATGTGTGAGCTGGTGTGTGTGACATGCACCCACAGACTCTGGCTGATGTCAGGTAT